GTTTTTAAGTCTGAAAAAAATAAAATTAAAAAAAATCTCTTTATTATTAGATCCATTTTTTTTCTTTTCTCTCCCGAAAAAATTGAATTTCAATTTAGAAAACTTTTTTCTTTTTTAATCGAAAAATGTTCGTCTGACTCGTTGTCTTCAACTTGTTGATTTGTTATTGAATAAAGCAGACGATAAGTTATTTTGTCCCCGAATTTCCTTATCTGCTTGTAAAATACTTGGAAACCCTTCCGAAAATTCTTTCAGTCTATTCGCATCTATCAGTCTATCTATCGGTCTATCTCTTTGTTTCTTTAAAAGCAAAGAAAAAAAAGAAATACCCACTTCCTCTCTCTTTCTCCCTCTCTCTTTCTCCCTCTCTCTTTCTCTCTCTCTCATGATTCGAAATCATTTTTATCATTTCTTCACCATTTTCTTTTTTCAAAGAAAAATTCTTGTCTGACTCGTTCTCTTTGTTTTCTTCTTCTTCTTCTTGAGAAAAAGAAAGAATACGATAAGTTTTTTGTTCGCCGCCCTCCCCGATTTCCTATCTACTTCCTTAAGGTTTGTTGTAGGATTTAAAAAGGAAGACGAGGCACTACTTAAGTAAAGTGGTCCGCTTATTAAAAAGACAACAAAAAATGTTTAAAATACTTACTTCCGAAAACTCATTCTATCTATCTATCTATCTATCTATCTATCTATCTATCTATCTCTCTCTATCTATCTATCTCTCTATCTATCTATCTATCTATCTATCTATCTATCAGGAATTCTCTCTCTTTCATACATCCCTTTCTTCTCTCTCTTATTGCTTATTTCTCCCGTTCACTTATTTTTCCTCGCTTGTTATCTCATGAAACTCTCTCTCACTCTCTCTCTATCGGTGAGTCTATCTGTTTATGAAAAAAAAAAAGGAAAAATATTCCCCCTTCTCTCTCTCTTCTTCCCTATTCCTCCCCTTCATTTTCTCCTTATTTTCCCTCCCTTCTTATCTCATATAACGCCCTTTAGTAGGGTGTGGTTATTCTCGTCTAATGAAATGCCTTCGGTTCTATGACGTCATAGCTCCTCAAACTCAAATTTCATATAAAACAATTTTTTTTTATTTTCTTTTTTTGTTGGATTTTCTTTTTTATTATTTTTTAACCGAATTCATATTGCGAGAAAAACTTTTTATTCTTACTTTATTCTTACCTTCCCTTTCTCTCTCTCTCCCTCCCTCTCTCTCTCTCTCTATCTCTCTCTTATATTGGTCTATCTATCCATCTATCTCTCTGTTTCCTTAAAAGATAAGGAAAAAAATGTTTCCTCTCTTTTATACAATCTTTCTTTCTCTCTCTTTACGCCTCATTCTCCCCTTCACTACTTTCCCTCCCTCCTTCTATCTATCTATCTATCTATCTATCTATCTATCTATCTATCTATCTATCTATCTATTAAATACTGAGAGGAAAAGTTCTTTTTCTCTATTAATAGAATTATTTTTTTTTTAAATTAATCAAATTGTTATTTTAGCAAAAGAAAAAAAATTATTTCACTTAATTTAAATTAGTTTCTTTTTCGGTTTTTATGTGTGGACCACTTTATTTAAGTAGTGCTTAATTTACTCGCTTTTATTGTCCTTGTGCCATACTAGATGAGTGAAGAAGATAAAAATATAAATTGGTAATGAATAAAAAATGCCTTCATTTTTTACGCGTCTTTTTGAAAGAAATTGAAAAAATAATTGGAAAAAAAATTTAAATTTTCAAATATTAAAATTGATGAAAACAGAATGTTAAATGTGACTGTGAAAGCGGAAAATAAGAAGCCCCCCTCTTTTCTCTCTGTTTCTTTTACCCTTTCTTTCCTTCTTTGAATTACTCTTCTCTCCCTCTCTTTCTTCATTGATAACCACTCTCTCCATTCCCCACTCTCTCACTATTTCATTCGCCCCACCCCCGACTCTTCTCCTCCCCTTCATTTATTTGAGATTTTAGAAGAAAACAAATTTTCTTTCCGGAAATGGATTTGTTTTTCTTGTAAAATCTCGAAATTTTGGGTCATTTTTCTTCCGGTTTTATAAATGGACTTTTTTTTTGTCTTTTTCTGATTTTGAATTTTGACCTTTTTTTTTTTTTTCTTTCTTTTCAGATTTGATTTTTTTATCTTCAGAAGAAATTTTCCAAATGGCGTCCAATGTAAGTAAAGAAGAGACATTCCAATGCTCGAAATGCGACCAATTTTTGGACTTGAAATCGAAGACGTTGCCATGTCTTCATTCTTTCTGCAGAAGGTGTGTGGAGGTGATTCTTGGAGGAAATGGCCTGTGTCCCCATTGCCAAGAACATGTGACCGGTGACGATTTGAGACTGGCAACATTTTTCGTAAAGTCTTTAAGGCGCCGTCAGCTGGAATCCCGCAAACTGAATTGTGATACTTGTTCGGAAGACGGCATAGAATCGACTGGCCAGATTTGGTGCCAGGACTGTCAGAAACTCTTGTGCCAGACTTGCGAGAGTGTCCACACCAAACATGAGACCAAAGACTTGTCGGGCGTGTCGAGTGTGGAGGCCATCCGGGTCGTCACGATGGAGGTCTGTCGACGGCACCGCAAATCCAAGGACGCCTTTTGCGACCGGTGCAATGTGTGCATGTGTAACGTGTGTTACACTGATCACGTGACCGCCTCCCCTCAGTGTCCGCCTCGTCCGCTGTCGGTGAGGGAGGAGGCGGCGAAGGGGAAAGAGGAGGGCGCTTCCACCCTGGAGCGGGAACTCCTCCAGTTCGAAATCCACATCCGGGCGACGTACGGGCAGACGGATCGATCCATTGAGCAACTGCCAAGGGATTGCGATTCCGAATGCTCCAAACTCTTGGAGGATTTTGAGACATTCGTGATTGAGGCACGGCAGAAGTTGATAGAGCTGTGCGATAATATGAAAGTGATGGCGTCCGAACTGGAGAGAAAATGGCGCCGCTCCCTCAAGGAGAGAGAAAAACTTTTGGGGAAGGTCAAGATCTGGCAGCAAACCTTGGAACATTTGTTGAAGGACGACGCCGACGATGAGGACGTCGTTTGTGGATTGAGGTTGGTGAGAGCTGAGCTTTCTGCACGGCTCCACCAATCGTTTGCTGCACCCGAGAAAATCCGTTGGATCGTGACACTTCCAAAATGGTATCACGATTCCCAAACTGAAAAAAGAAATAGCAGATTGGACGGCAGAGACATCCGGGCATTTGCCATTGGAAAAAATGTCGTCTGCAAGGATTGAAACCGCTGTCGTCACAGACATCCGGCATTTGCAATTGGAAAGTGAATGCCGTCTGCAAGGATCGAACCCGCCGCTGTGGATTTCATCGATTGTCGCCAGCGATGAAGACAATCACGTCTTTGTTGGCGACTGGGAAGGCGGATCGATTCTGGAATTCAGAGACTCTGGGGAATTGGTCGGCCAAGTTCCCTTAACGGATGGAGGAGAGAAATTCCGCCCCGGGACATGTGTCTCCTCCCCGAAGACATTTTGGTTGTTTGTTCTCCTGGAGGGTCGGAATCGGGGGGAAAAATTTTCTTTTTAGCGCGACAAAAATGTCTGCCATTTTTAAAAAAGCAAAAAATAATTGACACGAAAGGAAAATTTTATTCTTTGTGTCAAAATGAGAAAAAAATTTTCGCTTGTGATTGGAATTTTGAAGGAATTCTTTGTTTTAATGAAAATGGAGAAAAAATAAAAACAATCCTCCTTCAGGGGTCACCGGGGGGCGGTGTTTATCCACCCCGCCTTCGTACCGATCCGACGAATGGGAATTTCTTGGGGACAAGAGAAGGAAAATCGGAATTTTTTGTTTGGAATAAAAATGGAGAAATTCTTCAAAAATTGCAAAAAGAAGAATTTTTCGATTTTTGTTCAAATAAATTTGGATTTTTTTATTTTTCGAGCCAAAAAGAAATTTTTTCTCTTTTACCAAAAAAAAAATTGTATAAATTTCCGGAAAAATCTGAAGAATTTCCGAAGATTTTTGTTTCCGACCAAAAATTGTTTGTTTTTTTAAAAGATGGAAAATATTTATTGACAATCTTGAAAATTATTTAAAAAAAAAGTTCATTTTGTTTTTTGTAAATAAAATTTAGTTTTTTTAAATTCGTTTTTTGAAATTTTTCTTCAATTCAATTTATTTTTTTTATGTCCGACCACCAAATGTAAAAAGAATATGAAATTTCATTTGGAAATTGCAATAAAAACAGCAAAAAAATCGATAATTATTGATCGACTATTGTTTTCAATTTACGTAAATAAAATTATTTTTGTTGCACTTAAAAATTGAATTTGTCACCGGATAAGAATATGAGTTCAGGTAAATAATTGTTATTTTTTGTTTTTGTTTTTTCTTTTTTTCGCCGTTTTCTTTTTCTCACTTTTTTCTTCTTTTTTTCTCTCTTTTTCATCTTTTCCTTGTTTCTCTTTCTTTGCCCTTTACTTTTCTATTAATTTTTTTTTTCTTCCTTTTTTTTTTTTTTCTTCTTTTCTTTCTTCTTTCTTTCTTTTCTTTGTTTCTCTTTCACGCATCAAAACAAGAAATGTGTTTTTCTTTTTCTTCGTGGATGACGGGGAGGACCGTGAACATTCGGAAAAATTCTCGAAAGAGATTTGGTCTTTATATTCTTTCAACACATTCGAAGACCGGCATTTAGCAACGAACTGGAAAGAATAAAAACAAAAAGTCACGAGAGGGGGGAAGAATTTCTAAAAGACGACAAAGAATTGGTAAATTCTAAGGCGAAGATTCAGAAATTCCAAGGAATTTTTTTGAGGTCCAGGGCGGGGGTTCCAACAAGAATTCAATATTTCATTCCTACTTTTGAGATTTTAGAAGAAAAGTCAAAGATTGATGTCTCATGGAAAAGGGAATCGGTAAACCGGGTACAAATCCCGTTCACATCTGTGTTACATTCATTAGGAAAGGCATGAACCTATCTCGTCCCTGCATCAATAAAACAACAGAGTAAACGAAACTCTCTAGCCTTGAATATGAAACCACACGGAAAAGGCAATAGCCATTTCCACCCTCTCTCTCTCTCTCTCTCTTTCATAACAACGTTTCCTTCTCTCTCTTCTTCCCCATTCCTCCCCTTCAATACATTCCCTCCCTTATTATCTCATGAAACCTATCTATCGGGCGATCTTTTTAGCTCTCAGTCAGATTCTCTTTCTATTTACATGAAAAGGAGAAAATATCCACCCTCTCTCACTCTCTCTCTCTCTTTCATAACGTCCTTTCCTTTTCTCTCTTCTTTCTCCCTTCTGTCAGAAAGGATAACATTTCCGGAATTCTCTATCTATCTATCTATCTATCTATCTATCTATCTATCTATCTCAGTCCTTTTCATTATCTATCTATCTATCTATCTATCTATCTATCTATCTATCTATCTATCTAGGATATTTTTTGTCTTACCGAATTTACCACGAGCTGTACAAGACTTTTTCTTTGGACATTCTTCGGAGTTAGTGTTATTTTTTGTTTGTCATCTTGTGTATCCATTTTTGTCTTTCTTTGTCGTCTTATTCGTCTGAATTGCGTATATTGTTTCAGATTGTGTTGGGTTGACGAGGGTAGACCGAAATTATGTCGGAGTCCGAATCTCTTCCTGCTTCTCCTAGAGAAGTATCCCCTTCGGCAAGGGATAGGCCTCCACGAAAAGGGCCAGAATATTTCAAAAAATTAAGAGAAGTTTGATCCATCGGTCCCGTCTGTATTGGACACAGTGAATCCAAGGACAATCTCGTTAGTAACAAAGGTCCCCAAGACCCGGAAGCTAAATATTGTGACTAGGGAAGTGATAGAAAAGTCTTCAAATCGCAGCCTTAATTCTAGTAAGAATAAGTAAGTCAATGTGGGACATCTTATTGCCGACAGAAGAGAAAGCCAAATCACTGGCAGGCTTAATCTACTTCGACAGTAATGGTCTTTTCTTTTCTAAATATGGGGACGTCTCCCCTATTAAAATTAAGGCGGGAATTGCCACAGGTGATACTGAATTCTCAATTACATTAAATCGAAAGCAATTTACGGAAATACCCGACACGTTAATGTGTGAGGGTAGACATAATTATGTCGCCTGTTGTGACTGTGGGGCTGCGCATCATTTGTCGAAGGCTTGCCCAGGACAAAATTCTACCCCACAACCCCCCCAAAAAAAAAATGAAGCAGCAACAACACAGACAACAAAGAAAACTGGAGAGTAGACGGAAGTCGTCAAGAAAGGACCCAAAAGTACCACCATTTCCCTTCAGCAGTAGAATGAGTGTCCCCAACCAGAGTCAGAGGACCAGCAAGTAAGGGAATTAGAAATGAAGGAGATGCCCCCCACCCCGGTCGTCTTTACGGAAAAGAGGGAGAGAGGAAGCAGAAGTAGAAAAGGTGGTAAAACCCTGAAGCCTCCAAAGAATCTGCTAAAACCAAGGCTTAATCCACCCCAGCTTCGCCAGTCAAGATGCCTGAAGAAAATACCACAAGAAGACTTCCTCCTTCCCCTCGGAAAACACCACTGCCCCCATTTGCAATACACATCCTCATCAAACACCCCGTTCCAATAACATTGCAGCCGAAGACATTTCCACTCCTCCCAACAACTCACTTTCCACCAGCACAACGTCTAGTCCATATTAGATTTTCTTTTCTAAATATGGGGACGTCTGCTCTATTACATTAAATCGAAAACAATTTACGGAAATACCCAACATGTTAATGTGTCGTTGTGGAAGGTCGTCGGCCACTTTGTTGATTTGTGGGTATGCGTGGCATTTCAACCACCCCCAAAAAGAAAAAAAAGCAGCAACATCACAGTCAACATCACAGTCAACCAAGAAAACTGGAGAGTGGACGGAAGTCGTCAAGAAAGAACCTAAAATTACCCGCCACTTCCCTTCAGCAGCGGAATTAATCCCCAACCAGAGCCAGAGGACCAGCAAGTAAAGGAATTAGAAATGTAGGAGATGGCCCCATCTTGATTGTCTTCACTAAAAAGAAGGAGAGAGGAAACAGAAGAAAAGAAGAAGAAGAAGAAGAAGAAGGAGAAGAAAAGGCGAAAAAATAAAGAAAAAACACAAGCAAGCTGAAGCCAAGAAAGGCTCTGCCTAAACCAAGGCTCAATCAGCCCCGGCCTCGCCAGTCAAGAATCCGGAAGTAAGTACCACAAGAAGTGTTCCTTCTTCCCCTCTGAAAGCACCACTCTCCCCCATTCAAAATACACCTCCTCATCATATACCCCCTCCCAATACCACTGCAGCCGATCATATTTCTACTCCTCCCAACACCCCACTTTCCACCAGCACAATGTCTCGTAAATCCCCAAAGCCAAACACCTCCCAGCAGAGTTCTTCTTCTCGTAAGAAGAAATTCCCGAGTAGGATAATGTCTTGCTATGTGGACAAGCAGTCAATAGAAGCGGGCATGTCGAAGCAAAAGAGACATTTGTTGAAGCCCTTGTTAAAAATGGCGTCAGTAGACGGACTTGCTACAGATGGTCCCCGAAATTGTCCCAAGGCCGCTGGCGTAATGACATGGATAAAGAGGACAGGCCGAAATCTACTACCTTGGGATCACCTTCACCAGGCGAAGGATGCCATTCCGGAGATCCGTATGGCGGAAATAGGAACCCCGGAACTGAGAAAGCTACAGAAATATTGTGCAGGGAGGGTCCCAGTAATCGTCCATCCTTCATTATACAGGACATTAAAACTAACGTCGGACGTTGGCGGTATTGTCCTAGATGGTCGTATGACGACAGAGATGGGGACAGGGAGCCTTGGACAATCCATCGGGGTCCTTTTATCCGTAGATTTCCGTCAAATCTGTGAGTAGGGGAATCAACTTGAAAAAATGTCTCTCAAGATAGCTAGTTTGAATGCGAGGGGCTTGAAGGATCGGAGTAAGGCCGCCCACCTGCTTCGTGATCTCTTGTCGTCCGGCGTAGGTGTATCTGCGATTCAGGAGACGCACTTGAGAGGATGATGCGCGTGTGCAGTCTAGCGACTATGCTGTCTATTCAGCATACGTGAACCAGCCGGCTAGAGGTGTTTCCTTGCTGGTTAAACGTACACTGGATGCGAGGGTGGAACTTGTTCTCGTGGATGCGGGGGCCGGGCTGTTGATAGTGGCTGATATTGCCGTGAACAGTGGTTCGTTTCGGATCGTTGCGGTTTATGCGCCCAACGTTCAGGGGGGGATTAAAATGCTATCCTGAGCCTCAGTATAGGGTGTGGGGATCTAGCAGAAGGTCATTGGGTGATCGTAGCTTGGTTAATCTGATTGACGAGTTCGGTCTCGTCGATCACCCCGGGCTGGAGATGTGGACGTAGACTCGTAAGTGGCCGTCTACCCAGGTGGCCAGCTACCTGGATCGAATGATAGTGAGAAGGGCCGATGTAGACCTGCTAGATTATTCAACGTTCCACTGCTTAGGCTATACGGACCATAGACTCATCTGTGTCCGGATAACGTTAGATTCCAGGCCTAGAATGGCTGGACACTGGAAGTTCAATCTGTCCTTACTGGACAGGCGGGTCTCCAGCAAGAGCTATTTAGACTAGTACAGCGGGAACTAGTGGGGGCGGTTATTGGGAAAGGTGGTGGGAGAGACTTAAGTATAGGATTATGTCCTTCACGATCGAATAGAGCCAGCGGCTCGCACTAGATAAGGCTAAAAAGGTGAAGACACTTAAAGATAGTCTGTCTCGGGCGGAGGCTGGGGGGGGGATTCCCTAGAGATAGGTTTAGCTAAGCAGGTCGTGGAGCGCGCGGCTAACGAGCGCTACCAGGGTAAAGTAGTTAAACATAGGTTAAACATGATGTCTACCGAAGCTGTGAACATGGGCTCACAATTGCGCAAGGAAGAGATCCGCCAAGGTTTCGATCGTTACATTCGTGTAGGGAAAACCCCGGAGGGGCGTACTCTGTGGTCGACTGACGATATGTGCGAGGCGTTTCGGCGGCATTTCGAGAGCCGATTTATTAGGTTGGTGTAAAAATAATGACGTAATAATGTCGTTTTTTGACGTTAAAAAATACGTCAAAAAACGACATTACTACGTCATTATTTTTGCACCAAACTAATTCCAAGGAGCCTGGTCTCAGTGGCGATGATTTTCGCAGCCATTTCGCTGACTTTCCTTGGCTTTCGCCGACTAAAGCGGCTAGCTGCGGGGGTGAGATCACTGAGGGCGAAGTCTACTTGTCATTGAAGAGGGTCGGTAGTGGCAAATCTCCGGGACTTGATGGTTTACCCCATAAATTGTACTGGAGGCTGTCGCAAATCTTTGTGCCTATTTTGACTGTCGTGTTCAACAACTGCCTCCGGCAGGTGTCCATACCCAGTCAGATCAACAGGGGTGTGATCAAGCGGTTTAAAAAAGGGCAAGGGTGGTGTGACAGATTTAGACGATTAACTCTGCTGAACAATTAAAGATTTTGGCCAAGATCCTGCTGGAGCGTTTGCAGTCAGTTGCTGGGAGTCTGTTGGGACCCGATCAAACTTGTGCTGTGAAGGGCCGAACAATTCAGAGCAACCTGCACTGATCCGCACGATCCTAGAGGGTGTAAAAGACGACGAGCAAGCCGCGCTGATCAATTTGGATCAGTCCAAGGCATTTGATAGGGTCGACCATCGGTATCTGACTGCTGCCCTGCAAGCCGCCGGATTCCAACTCGACTTCTGCAAGTGGATTAGCCTCCTGTATCGCTCCCCCGGTGATGTGGTACAGGTGAACGGAAAGCGGTCACGCGCTTTTGCGCTGTCTCGGTCGGTACGTCAGTGTTTTCCACTGTCGCCCCTACTTTACGCTTTGGCGTTGGAGCCTCTCCTTCGCCAGCTGGGGGACGGGGCGTGCAGTCTGGCCCTACGTGGAATCGCTGTCCCTGGTGGGGCTCGAGCCAGGGTTTCCGCGTACGCCGATGACGTATGCATTTTCGTGTCGTGCCGCAGCGACATTGAGATGGTAGAGAAGGCGCTTGAACGGTACGAAGATGTCACAAGGGCTAAGATTAACCGTTACCCTCCTTTTCCTATATATATATATATATATATATATATATAAACACTTTCAATATATTCTTTTTACCATCATTTTTAATTAATGTGTGTGTGTATGTGTGAATAAAAAGAAAAAAAGAAAACTTACTTTAGCCCGGGCCCCCAGAATTTATTGTTTCAAAAAAAGTAAAAATAAAATAAAATAAAAGCATTGATTATGAAACGTCATGATTTTTGTTTTGTTGTGTACGTTATGATTATATTTTTAATTTTTTTTTGAGTAAATTAAAAGGTCATCCAAATTTCTTCATTGGGTCAAAGAATGAAAAGTAGGTTATTTAGGCTAAAAAGGTAATGTCAAAGAATTCAAATGACTAATTCATTAAAAAGCATAAACAACTAAATGACATAATCGTCTATTTTTGTCTATTATATGGACTTGGGAGAGGGGGGAATTTCAAAGAAAAGTGTTA